CCCGAACGAACATTTCGAGCTCTGGGCGCAGAGAGGTCCCCTGGAGGCCCCAAGAGGGCCCCAAGAAGCCCCCAAGAGGCCCCCGAGAGGCCCCAAGAGACCCCCAAGAGGCCACGAACGCGCAGGCAAATGCTGGCGATAGCACAATACGGGCCGGCGGAGTGAGCGAAGCGATGAAATAAAATATCGAGCCTCGATCCTCGAGCCTCGATCCTCAATCCCCGATCGCCGAAGCTCGAGCCTCCAGCCTAGAACCTCGAACCTCGATCCTCCAGCCTCGACCCTCGAGCCTCGAGCCTCGACCCTCCATCCCCGAAACTCGAGCTTCGATCCTCCAGCCTCGAGCCTCGACCCTCGAGCCTCGAGCCTCGATCCTCCAGCCTCGTCCCTCCATCCCCGACTCTCGAGCCTCGACCCTCGATCACCAAACCTCGAGCCTCGATCGAGGTGCAACGTTAGAGGGGGACCGGCTTGGGGGGGGGGTTAGGGAAGCGTCGATCCTCCAGCCTCGTCCCTCCATCCCCGACCTTCGAGCCTCGACCCTCCACCCCCGAAACTCGAGCCTCGGTCCTCCAGCCTCGAGCCTCGATCCTCGAGCCTCGAGCCTCGAGCCTCGAGCCTCGATCCTCGACCCTCCATCCCGGACCCTCGAGCCTCGAGCCTCGACCCCCACACCTCGAGCCTCGATCGAGGGGCAACGTGAGGGGGGGAACCAGCTCACAAGGGGGGGGGGGGGAGGGGAGGGGGGGGGAGGGGAAGCGTCGACCTGGAAGCGGCGGTACACCGCCGATGCACTGGCGATGGGCCCCCGACAGGGAGTCCGCACCAGTCCCGGGCAGGGTCGGCGAATGGGCCCCGACCCGCGGTGACTTATGCCGACAGGCGGCTGCAGGTCGGCGTTTCCCCCCCGTGGGGCCCTCCACCCCGGACGCTGCCCCCGATCGAGCCTCGGCCCTCGACCTGCCCCCTGGTGGGTCCTCGAAGCCTCGATCCCGGAGCCTCGAGCGCCGATCCTCCAGCCTCGATCCTTCCTCCCCGACCCTCGAGCCTCGAGCCTCGAGCCTCGAGCCACGACGCCCCAGACCTCGAGCCCCGATTGAGGGGCAACGTTAGGGAGGGATGGGCTCGGAGGGGGGGGGACACATCGACCCCACACCGCACCTCCGTACATTCACCGCCGATCAGGACCCGATAGCCCACCCTGCCCAGGACCACGCGCCAAGTGGATTCCCTGTCGAGGACCGCTCGCAGGTGTACCGGCGACGTATCGCCGATTCCAGGTCGACGCTTCCCCCCCCCCTGAGGAGCTGGTCCCCCCCTCACGTTGCCCCTCGATCGAGGCTCGAGGTTTCGGGGTCGCGGGTCGAGGCTCGAGGGTCGGGGATGGAGGGTCGCGGGTCGAGGCTCGAGTCGGGGATGGAGGGTCGAGGCTGGAGGATCGAGGCTCGACCCTCGACCCCTTAGCCTCGAGCATCGGCCCTCGACCTGCCCTCTGGCGGCACCCGGCCGCGCGAGGCGAGGCGGTCTCCGCCCAACTGGGGGCGAGGCGAGGCCGCGCCCGCCGCCGCGCCGCCGCGCCCTCACGGCTACCTGGGCCGGCGCGCGTCGCCGATCCCTCCTCCTCTCCCTCCTCCCTCTCCCTCCTCCGCTCCTATTCCCCCGTCCTCCTCCCCTCCTCCTCCTCCTCCTCCTCCTCCTCCCTCCCTCCTCCCTCTTCCTCCTCCTCCTCCCTCCTCCTCCTCCTCCTCCTCCTCCTCCTCCGCCGCCTCCTCCTCCTCCTCCTCCTCCTCCTCCTCCTCCTCCTCCTCCTCCTCCTCCGCTCCCGAAACCTCCCGCTGCTCCCCGACATCCGCCGCTCGGAGGGAAGGGGAGATCCTGGGGACGACGCCGTCGAGTTCGGAGGTCTTCGGTTGCTTTTGGAGATCCTCGCCCCCGCGGCCGGACGCGGCTCGAAATATCGGCCAGCACGGACCCCAGAGGGTGGGTCCGGGATCAGACCTTGACCAGATTTTGGAGCTCGAGCGTGGATGGCCGAGGGCTGAGGTTCTTGGGCGCTCTTGGCCCCTCCTTGCTCTCGTGTTGGCCTCGGCTCCCCGCTTTTAGGCGCCCCGCTCCTCATCCGAGTCGAGAGCGCATGCACGTCTCCGTATTCCCAGCACTCCATTCTGCTCATGATTTCACATTGGTCGAATGGCTGGTAGGCTGATTCTTGGCCCATGCCCTGCACAGGACCGCGCAGCCGACAAGCTCGCTCGCGTGGCTCGCTCGCTTGGCCCTTCCCTGGTCTTCCAGGGGGTCTCCTCTCGGAGGCCTCTGGGAGCATGGACCTCTTGGGGGACTCTGGGGGACATCCAGATCGCTCTAGAGGCGGTCGTCGTCGTCGTCGTCCTCGTCGTCGCCGTCGCCGCCGTCGTCGTCGTCGTCGTCGTCGCCGCCGCCGCCGTCGTCGTCGTCGTCGTCGTCGTCGTCGTCGTCGTCGTCGTCGTCGTCGTCGTCGTTCTCTCCGCCTCCTTCTCCTCCTCCTCCTCCTCCTCCTCGTCCTCCTCCTCCTCCTGGTCATCTTCTGTCCTCCGCCCTCCGTCCTCTTCGGGGGGGAGGGGAGAATGGAGAAGGGAGCGGCCAAGGGTGATTTGGGGAGGGGCAGGGGTCAGAGTGGAGAGGTCGGGGCGGTCGGGCGCCAAGAAGCTGGCGCGAGCGCCGACATTTTCCAGCGCTGGCCGCCTCCACACTGGGGGAGGTGGCCCCCGAGCTCGGTGCTGCGCCTGCAGAGTGCCAAGGCGGGGTCACCAGGGTGGTTCCTTGGATTTCCTGTCTGTGCTCTCTGGAGCGCGGCACGCTTGCACTCATGAAATATCCGATCTTTTGGCCACAGAAGCAGCCGCTGGCTTAACATCAAAAAATCCAGCTGCAGTCTGCAGCCGAAAATCAGATACATAACCATACGCTCGCGGGCGGATGCGGACTGGCCCCGCGGCCGTCTTCCAAGAGAAAGCAACGATCGCTGCCCGCGCGCAATGCACATAAATAAACAGCAAAGACGGCCACGAGGTGTGGTCATGTAGCACATGTATACTCTGTGCGTCATGACAATTCCATACACTCCGCCATTTGTTCATCTCATCATTTGCCATATGATATGGTTGCATACGTTGTGCATCCATGATGTTAGCTTGCAAAGCCTGCCAACCTCGTGAGCCCATGTGCCTTGCCAGCGCCATTGAGAAAGGAAGTGCTCATAGATGTTGTCCGATGTCGTTCGCTGGCCTTGTCAAGCCCAGCGCGGTGCTCATCTGCCTGCTCAGCAATTCGACATGCAACATCCTCAAACCACGTCTGCCAAACGCATGCACGCCCGACAAAGTAAATACCTGACTTCATTACTGATTCACGACCTTGCAGTGAGGCAATCAACTTCTGCATAGTCTCCGTGCGCTTGATCCCCCTGATATTGGGGGCCATGCGGTTCTTGCCTGGATCGCACCCTCACACAAGGTGCCAACCATCACCATCGCTCATGATATGCACAGGTGCGCCCAGCCCATGGCGAAGCGTCATCAGGTAACTTCGCATTACCACCATTCGAACCACCCATGATGAACCGGTGCTCCTTGATCAACTTCATCCAATAGGCACGCACCCCCATCACATGCTTGGCCCACTTAGCTGCAGCGGCCAGGGAACCACCAGCCCTGGACAACTTTGGTCTGACCATTCCGCCGGCACCTAATTAGCACGATAAGGTCCCCCCCTCCATTTGTAAGCCTGCGCACGAGCACCAACAACGTCAGAACGTCTGAGCAGCTCGCTTTCAAGCGGGGCAATCGCAGGATCCCGCACACGCGCCAGCTCCTCTGGGATGCACAGAGACATACTAATACTATGCGTCTGCCTTGGAGGCGCGCGTCCGACCCGAACATATAGCACACCCATCTTGTAGTATATCGTTTCTCGAGCGGTGTGGCCAGAAAGCGCCCGCCACGACGCATATACTATAAGATTTCTCGGCTCGCGCGTCGCCCCTGGGGAAGCGACGAACACACAGTATAAGTATGTTGGGGGGGCGCCGATCCTCGACGCCCTGGACCTCGCGAGTCGCCAACAGCACTTCATCCCATAACAATGGCTGCCGTAAGCAGCCAACGCTCGGCTTCCTAGGCATGGCCTCGGGCCCCACAGGCACGCGCAGCCAAACGGGGAAACCGCCATCGGAAAGGGGGAGATGAACGGGCTTGCGCACTGGGTGGTTGTCGTTCTCACCCACGCAGGGCGCCTGCAACTTGGCGGCAAGCCTGTCAGACACAGCAAAATAATCATAGATGCTGCCTTCCGCGCCGTCGGCGTGATACATGTGACAATCCCGGGTAGAAGGGAGAGACTGCGAAAATGATCCAGCCAACCCTGCCCATCAAATGTTGGCACAACCATATTCCAATCACCACCAACAACCCATGGAACACCCACGTCGTTGAGCCCGCCGATGTAGCATGTCAAAGTATGCAGCAGCGCCTAGCTCTCTTCACTCAGACCGACGCTGTCCTGAAAGTATACCGGTATCGCGACCAGACCACCTTCGCATCCCCAAGCCACCTTCGCAGCAACACACCTTCCGAATAAATGATCGGCGCGTCAAGCCCAGGAGGTGATGCGATGTCATTCTTCGCGGGAACCATCACAGCCACACCAGCAGACAAACCTCCATTCTCAGTGCGAACTGAGGATGTACACAGCCCATGGCGGCCGCGATTCTCATACCTGGTGCCAAGGAGGGGATGCCCGCATCACTGGCGCGCATCTCCTGGGCCAACACGACCGCGGACCTGACTAGCCCTTGAATCTCAACAAGGGGCCAGCGCTGTCCGCATTGACAGTAGATACATATCCTTTTTACCTCCATCCCACCAACAGCACTTGCGCCGCTGGCGCGTCCTGACTTTTGCGTTTCATAGCCCGTGTCGAACAACCTGGAATGCGTTGAACCTGCCGGCCGCTCGCGCGCGAAGCTACTTGACGGCTGCCTCTCGCGTATTCCGCCCATTGTCAGGCAGCAGCACCAGCGCAGCGTCCAAAATGATCTCCGGCATCAACCTCGGACACGTGCGGCCCAGCAGGGCGCGGCGCTGGCGTCTCTGCGGCGCAAGCGGAGGGGCGGGTGGCACAACCACATCACGCGCAGCATCGTCGTCATCATCCAACCCCCCATTTGGAGGCACAGCTGCAACACTCGTCGGACCAAGCACCTGCACATGCGCATTGTTGATGATGGTGGGTAAGGCCTGGGCAACACCATCCGCCATAGACATTGCCAAATCACCAGTCCCAAGACTACGCAATATGTCACCCAACTTGCTGGCATAAAGACCGATCGCGGCAATGGGCACATGAGCCGCCGCAACGTCACCCTCTTTGCCAGCAGGCGGTAGAGTTGACTTCTTTGCCAACTCCAGATGCTGCGCCCGCAGCTCAACCAGCTTGGTGCGCCTGTCATGGATGGATTGCTCCGTCTTGGCCATCTCCGTTTGCAGCGTCTCGAGATTATGCTCCTCCAGTCGGTAAGCTTCTGCTGCTTCTGCATATGCGTCTACATTTTATCCATCTGACGTGTGATAGCAAACATGTGGGAAGTAGCTGGCATTATGCTTGTGATCTCATGCTGCCACTCACTCCACTCATCAACCACCGACTTATGCAGCACCGCCCAAGCTTCATCAGAACATTTGAATGCCATGTCAATATGCTTATACAGCTCTGCAACTCTCGCACGTGCACGACCTGCATCAAAGTTGTTGCCTGGGTCAGCCCGCTTGCTGACATCATGCCCATCCACCCCCATGGTTTCGTCACGATGCGCGAGAGAAACAAGCTGCCTTCCCAACTTAATGATGGTGCCATGAACCTGTCGCAGCTCCGTTGACTTGGCCCATGGTGTGCCTGCGCTTCCGCTTCCTGCAGCCTTGGAACCAGCCGTTGCCGAACGCCCCCGCGATTCACGAGCGTACACACTGGGCTCAATCGGTTCCTTGTACGAGTGGAAGCAGGAACTCTTGGGCCTGCGGCACTTACAGCACTGATCACGTCCAGGCTCATTGAAGAATGTCTGCCCCGTCCTGCCATACACACAGTACCTGCAATACCAAGTGCGAGAATTGACAGGCGGAGCCATGGCAAGCGTCCTGCCGCGGGTGCGGTCGTCCTGTCGCCTGCCCTCGCCCCGAGGATCGCGGTCACCCAGCCGTTCTGAAAAATCGGTAACCGCACGCCCAGGCAAAATGGCTGAGCCAGAACGGCTGGAGGAGGGGGAGGAGTAGGAGAAGGAAGAGGGGATGATGATGATACTGATGATGATGATGATGATGATGATGCAGATGATGACGATGGTGATGGTGATGGTGATGAGGATGAGGACGATTATTATTGGTGGTGATGCTGATCATGACCCTGAACATGATCATGATGGTGAGATTGCTGAAGATGGTGATGGTAACACTGATAATGTTGATGCTGATGCTGATGATGATGATGATGGTGATGATGATGGTGATGATGATGATGATGATGGTGATGATGATGATGACGGTGCTGTTCATAATGGTAATTATGGTGGTGATAATAATGCTGATGTTGGTAGCGACGATGATGATGCTGATGATGATTGTGATGATGATGGTGATGATGATGGTGATGCTGATGATGGTGATGATGATGATGGTGATGGTGATGATGATGCTGATGCTGATGATGCTGATGGTGATGGTGATGATGATGGCGGTGATGATGATGATGATGATGGTGATGATGATGGTGATGGTGTTGATGGTGATGATGATGATGATGATGATGATGATGACGATGGTGATGGTGATGGTGATGGTGATGGTGATGATGATGATGATGTTGATGCTGATGCTGATGCTGATTCTGATGATGATGATGATGATGATGATGATGATGATGGTGATGACAACGATGGTGATGGTGATGATGATGATGACGACGCCGAGGAGGAGGCGGAGGAGGAGGAGGA